AAGGATTTCGTCAAAAAACAAGAAAGATATTGAGACTTTAGTTGCAGCCAATCAGAGCGAAGTGCACGTGCATGCGCGTGAGATCTTGCTATTTTCACCATGTCGTCATGTCTATACTACTAATATATCCTTACATTATGAGTTTCAAAGCATTTCATCTAAAAAAAGAAAAGTTGTGGCTATATCTATTATATTGGTGATTTCACGTGTCGCACGTGCACGCTCTTGCAAGCACGTGCGCGCAAAATGACCTTGATTCCGCAAATCTGCATAACATGTCTACTAACCCTAAAAATTGTGAACAGTTTACAAGATCATTCCCGGACAAAAAACAGGAAGAAGAAGAAGAAGAAAAATAATAATAATAATAAGAAACAGAGTAAAAACAATATGTTCCCCAACTTCGTTTGGGGAACATAATAAACGAAACCAAACAAACAAACAAGCAAACAAAAAGTGGAAAGGGAAACTAGCCAATGTTGAAAACCAAACCATGTTTCTCTAATTGGATCGAAGGGCCGCTTCAAAAATTCCTCAAAAACTATCCTGTGTTTCCCCGATTTGGGCGATAGGGGGGTCAATGTTATATTTTGGTTACTTTATTACCAAAATTTAATAACGCTGAAAGTCAGGGTTGTATATCTAGGGCAAACATTTTTTGATTTAAAAAAAACTACAAAAAATGAAGAAAACAGCCCATTCACGATCACAAACCCCTCCCCCCCCCCCCAAAAAAAAAGAAAGCCCACATTCTTCAAATATATATGGTACTAATCCCAAAAAGGGGATACCACCCCACTTTTTCATCCTCTACTTAAAATTTTAAAATTAAAATATACTCAACAAAAAAAGAAACGCATATTGTTTTACTCGTCAAAGAAATTTTTAAAATGTACATGAAACAACTATTTTTTATATCATTGGATACCTGTGACCTATTTAAAGGACAACATGGGGTTTTAAAACCCAAATGTTGAATTATCTCCCTTGATTAAACATGTTTATGAAAATAGTGTTTTTCATGATTTCTTCTAAATCAGTTGTCTATTTTCATTGATATTTTGGATTAAGAGAAACTTTTAACACTTCTATTATACCCATATTTAAGATTTGATTGCAGTGTTGATACTGCAATGCCACGCCCAAACAAAGATGAATACAACCAGGCTAACGATGATACTAAATGGAGCTACGCAACAGGAAGTTGCAACTGTATTTGAAATAAATCAATGGGCTTTGCAACCTTAAAACTAACGTCTGAAGACCACTATCATGCCATCCGCAGGTAACCACAACCAGACAGGACCGTCAGACACCCCCCCCCCCTTCATCACCTCATGCGATTTAGAACTTGCTGTAAAACTGCTGCTACAATTGCTGTATGATAAAATCAGCATAAAAGTGCAAAAATTGTTCGCAAGAGACTGAAATGAGATGGTATTCCTCCACGATATCCGTACATTGGAAACCCACTAGCATTGAGACTTTGCACAGTACATATTGTTATGCCCCTTGAATTTGGGGGCAATGAAAATGACATCAACTTGACTTTTCAATTTGCAGTATTGATTTTTATCACAACACACTCTAAAATCGCTTAAATAATATAAGGTTTAAACTGAAAACTTAGAATTTCATATTATTCTGATTATGCGTTTCTTTTTTTGTTAGTATAAATGAAGTGTTGTTTGCCAAAAAAAACCCATTTTTTTATTTATAAACTAAATTGTATATTGTGTAACTATGTTTACTAATATTGAGGATTTACATATACATGTACTTCTTTTGAAATAAATATTACACGAAATATTGCAGTTTTAAGATGCATGTAACTTTGAAATCTAAGATATTTTTTTCAATATTTTATTCTTAGAATATAACTGAATTACTGAATTAAGTGTGCATTGATAACATTGGCGTCAGAAGCAAATTGAAAAATTACGCACTTTGAAAAAAATAATTTTTTTTCAAAGTGCGTTAAAATTTGGGACCAAGCTAACGCACTTTGAACAAAATAATTTTTTTTTCAAAGTGCGTTAATATCGACCATATTAACGCACTTTGAAAAAAAAATGTAAAGATTGATCAATATTCCTTCAAATAATCGGAATGATAAAAAACAGATTCTGGTTTGATAATTTTTTCATGATAAAGTCACAGTAGGACCTGAGATATTGACGTTTTAAATATTTAAGGTTTTGATAAAATAAAAGAGAAAATTAAAGGGTCTTGAAAAAAAGAGTGACGATTGTTTACGTTCATGAATTCGTTTCTTTTTTTTAATTCTAGTCTTTGATAAGTAGATGTAAAGGTGTATAGGGGGCACTAACAGATGACGGCTTCAAGCAACTTAGCATTGTTCAAAACTATGAAAATTCTTTCTTTCTCATACGTTTTACTGTACTTAAAATTTCTTGTTTTCATCTGTTTTAATTAACTCATTTATTATTGAAAGTTTTCAACGTCATACCAGTTAGGTAAATACATAATTATATGAATGCTTTGAGTATAGCATAGACATCGAGATTGGGCGAAGGGCCAGGGGAGGGGATGGGGGGCTAAGCCCCCCACTTATTTTGGAAAGATATATATACTCAACAAAAAAAGAAACGCATATTGCTTTACTCGTCAAAGAAATTTTTCAAATGTACATGGAACAACTATCTTTTATATAATTGGATACCTTTGACCTATGTAAAGGACAACATGGGGTTTTAAAACCCAAGTGTTGAATTATCTCCCTTGATTAAACGTGTTTATGAAAGTAGTGTTTTTCATGATTTCTTCTAAATCGGACGTCTATTTTCGTTGATATTTTGGATTTAGAGAAACGATTAACACTTCTATTAAACCCATATTTAAGATTTGATTGAAGTGTTGATGCTGCAATGCCAAGCCGAAACAAAGATGAACACAACCAGGCTAAGGATGATATTAAACGTAGCTACGCAACAGGAAGTTGCAACTGCATTTGGAATACATCAATGGGCTTTGCAGCCGTTAAGCTAACGTCGGAAGACCAAGAATTGGCCGTCTGCAGGTAACCACACCCAGGCATGATCGTCTGAACCCCCCCCCCCCTTCAGCACCTCACGCGATTAAGAAGCTGTAAAAACTAACTGCTGCTACAATTGCTGGATGAAAAATCAGCATAAAAGTGCATAAATTGTTCGCAAGAGACTGAGAAGAGCTGGTATTCGTGCACGACATCCGTACATTGGAAATCCACCAGCGGTTAGACGTCACAAAGGACATATGGATTAGTTAAGACGGTATTCCCAAAGAATTTGGAGGCGCCGACAATGACAACTTCACTTTTCTACTCGCAACACATGATATGTTTAATTTTTTAAAAAACCCTCTAAAATTACTTTTACAAAAATAAGGATTAAACTGTAAACTTAGATTATCATGTTTCATCTGAATATGCGTTTCTTTTTTTGTTGAGTATACATCGTATAAGCATTGAAAATGCAGCGTACCCTTTTTAGGTTTATTGCTCCGCTTCCCCGTTTGTTACCGACACCTATATATTGGAAAGATAAAGATTTGGACTGAGGGATCTTATACCCGTCTTCTCCTCTTTTCGACAGGAGTAAATCAATTCATTTTTGAGGTTAGGGTTAGGCTTAGTTTTTTGAAAGATAAATAAGTAAAATAACAAAAAAAATCTTTCCATGACTACAATATGATTTTTTTTTCAAAGTGCGTTAAGTGTCTCCATGGTAAAATATAATGATGTAGAATCTTAACGCACTTTGAAAAAATTTTTCAAAGTGCGTTGAGTTGGTCCCAAATTTAACGCACTTTGAAAATTTTTTTCAAAGTGCGTTGATATTGTCCCAATTTTAACGCACTTTGAAAAAATTTTTCAAAGTGCGTTGCCACAGCGGGGGATGGGGGGGGGGGGCTAATTGAAAAGAAAAAAATCAAATCTGAAAAAAAATTGACAAGAAAAAGAAAATTTGTCCATTGTCCAAACTACTAGTCCAAACCCGAAAATCCTATTGGGGGGTGTTGTGTTAGGATCCAATTTTTTTTTTAAAGCACTTCCACTTAATCTTCTTTCTTAGACTACACTGTAACGTGTCTGTTGAAAGCGGGGGGGGGGGGGGGGCTAAACCAATTTCACATATTGTTCAATGCTTCTTGATCAAAAAATTTCACGACCCGGCTCAGTTTTCCACGGACTAGGGTTTAAATTCAACACCTTTGGTCTCACTATTCAACGTTGAAAAATGACCCCCGGGTCAATTTTCAATCCGGGTCAAAATTCAACGTTACACCGGCAATTGCTCTTTGAGCATTAAGCCCGGCTAAAAAATACATACTAAAAATTTGAGATTTTGAGGGACCACTTCAAAAACATTTTTTTCCCTGTAACATTTTTGTTGACCAATCTTCAATTTTTCTTTTCGGTCTTGAGTTCAGCATGGAGTGCAATTTAAAATTTAAGGTCTGTGGTGTCAGTTTTTGTCCTTTTATAGGAGTTTTAGAGAAAAGAAGTATAGTAACTTCAAGCGTTTTCACACATGACCATGTATAAGTTATCTCCCGTTGCACAATTGTTAAAAGCCTTACCTGTTCTATAGATTTACACTTTGGTATGCATCTGAAAAGTACTTCCGGTTTTATTGGTCTCTTAAAATTCTCAAACGTGATTTTTCCATTTCTAATAAAATTACGTACGTCATATATTTTTTAAAAAAGCAAGCAAGGATTATATTTGAGATGAATGATCACTTAGACATTATATTCAGGTGATAAGGTCACAAAGACAACATCCTATAAGTTTTGGGATTTTCATTGGCCAGAACAAAAACCGTTTTTCGTAACTTTTTTATTTGAAAATCAATCTTATAGCCGACTTTGGTTTTGAGGTCAGAACAAAGAGTTGTCATTTCAAAAATCATCTTCCTTTGCACAGCTGCTATGAAGCTTACACATACTCAAAGTTTTCACATACACTTATTTCTTTTTCTTCTCATTATAAGTAAAAATTCTAATTGTTAAAAGCAATTTAATTGAATGAAAGTAGAAATATCATAAAGAAAGATAAATAATCATAAGAACAAACTATCTAAAATAATTAAACGTTTATTGCCTCTTAATGCAAAATAACTGGAGGTTTTGTACACTTCTCTTCACAAAGCTTCTCGACCACGTACAGCGTGTTGGAGCGCATCTCAAACGAGGCACAGCTCTTGTGGGTGTCTCCTGAACGGAGAATGTGTGCTTTGCCATCCTTCAGTATCCTGGCTTCCGACTCGCCACTTCTGTATTTGTTCAGACGCACGGTGAACTTGCAATTGCTGAGAGCACTTGAGGCAAAGTAACACTTGCCCACCACCTTATAAACGATTTCACACTGCAAATTCCTCTCTTGCTTGATCTCACATTCGCCTGTTAAGGTCAAAAAAATATTTTCATTTTTATTAAGAACCAAATCAATAACATTAAAGAACTTTCTGAATGCACATAGCTACAATATTATCAGTTATAATATTATCTAATCTTCCTGAATTTATATAATTTATCAACAAATACATTTCACAAATGTCATGATCCTGAAGACAATACCGCTTTAAAAACTTACCGCAGTCTGGGATGTTACAGAATTCCCACCGGGTGGCGCTGGATGTCGTGTAGCACCACGGGGCAGCCTCGTTATCGGGATTTCTGCAGAAGTTGGTTTGATCCGCCAATTTCTGGAAAGAGTGACTGTGAGGTCTCTGCCGTCCCCAGTCCTGGCATGCTTTGCCTGATTTGGTTGTGTTTCTGTTACCTTTATATTTCAGTCCTTTTGGATCGCCGGCATCAAGGCATTCTTAATAGAAGGAGAAAGTCGATTGGAAAAGCTTACCATTCTGATATTCATGGAATACTTAGTACATGCATATCGAAACAAATACATAGGGTACTAATACACTCCTAAGGGGATTAATTCTCAGAGGCGTGCATTCTAAAAAGTTAACTATCGTAGAAAACATAAAATGCTAATAACTGGCTTTGACCTTGTCATGACATCCTTTTTGCCATAACCTTTTGTTATCGCAAGAACCTCGACAATTCATACAATATATACAAACTTTTAGGCAGTAAAAGAATTTTATACTAGGCTCTTCATCTCTTTGATTTAGAATTTTCAGAGTCTTCATACTGATGATTCTCAGAATTCCTTAAGCAATCTGTGCTCCATGTATGAGTTCTAAGATTTCTTTATTACAAAAATATCGCCCTGATATGAAGTGACAAGGCCAAACAGCTGGACACACAGACGAAATTTTTTTATATACTCCCAACCTTTACTTGTGGTGTTCATAAACAAGAGGCCCATGGGCCACATCGCTCACCTGAGAAGCTTTGACCATGCTATTCTTAACCAGATTTTCCCTTGTAATACATGTACCTATTGTGACCCCATCCAACCCCCGGGGGGTCATGATTTGAACAATTTAAAATCTACACTACCCCAGGATGCTTCCACATAAGTTTCAGCTTTTCTGGCTAAGTAGTTCTTGAGAAGAAGATTTTTAAAGTTTTTTCCTATATATTTCTATGTAAAACTTTGATTCCCTATTGTGGCCCCGCCCAACCCCCGGGGGTAATGATTTGAACAATTTAAAATCTACACCACCCAAGGATGCTTCCACATAAGTTTCAGCTTTTCTGGCCCAGTAGTTCTTGAGAAGAAGATTTTTTAATAACCCCACCCTATTTTTGTGTTTTCTTAATTATCTCCCCTTGTGAGAGGAGCTGGCCCTTTATTATAGTCCCTGCTTGTTTTAACAGTTTGAATTTCCCTCCACCCAAGGATGCTTTGTACCAAGTTTGGTTAACATTGGCCCAGTGGTTCTTGAGAAGAAGTCGAAAATGTGAAAAGTTTACAGACGGACGGACGACGGACAAAATGTGATCAGAAAAGCTCACTTTAGCCTTCGGCTCAAGTGAGCTAAAAACCATTGTTTGATTGAAAGAAAATAGTGTTGCAATTTTATGTTGACCAGACAAATACATGTAAATTGGTCTTCTTGCGTTAGTGAAGCTTATTATTATTTATATTTAGATCCGTATAATAAGATTTACATTATTTTTTAAAAGGGATAGAGTGTTATCAGTGTGGTGATAATATCTGAAAAACAAGTTAGCAAATATATGTAGTTTATGTACACTTCTAACCTATTCGAAAATTCCCCATTTTCTTTATTTACAAATTTGGCATCAATGTAATTTAACTTACCATCAACATTTGCTGGTTTTACACCAGTACCCGCTGTAAGTTAAAAAAATATATATTAATACGCCATGCACTTATTAATTAAAAATAGATAGAATTGTTCACAAAATTAACAATTTTTGTCTAGAGGACGAATTTAAAATTTTTGCATATATTTTCCTTTTTATTTATTCAGTTTTTGAATGTTGAAGTAGCAAAACAAATTTATACTGACGGCAGACAGGAATATGACAGTAGTCCCATCTCTTTTTGGAATCAGTGGTATAGCACCAGGCTGCTTTCTCATTGTCCGGATTTCTACAGTGGTTGTTGTCCAAGGTTTTAAGTAAAGAATGTGCGTGTGGCGTCTGAGAGGACCATTTCTGACATGTGTAACCTGACTCTGTAGAGGACATGGTGCCCTGGTACTTCTTTCCATGGGGATCATCGTGAGCAAGACATTCTGTGATGTATGATTCATTTTCAATAAAACATTTCGCGAGATAGGGTCTTGCATAAGGCATTCTGTATATCAAATTACCATCATACACTACATGCACTAGTGTGTCTAAATTTCTTTGTTTTTTCTTTTAAATGATATTGTACTGTTTTATAAGCTCAGGAATTTCGATAGTATGGACTTAAGCATTTAATCCTACCTGGTCCCGGTGCGGATGGTACTACAATAATAATATAGAAATAAGCATATTATTCAAAGAGAATCAGCAAACAGAGCAAATTTGAATATATAAAATAGAGTAATAATTTGTACACATGTATCGTGTGTATTTTTATTTTGAAATACCTGGTAGGTAGCACACGGAGAAGGTCCCTTTACATGCAAGCGACACCCAAATGCCATCCCCAGAGAATCCGTATGTTGATCCATACTTGCAGTCGGATGCAGTGGATCTCACATGAAGAACTGCTTGTGCCTTTGGAACAGTACAAACCACCTTATTCCCATTGGATGACTCACACTTAACGTCTGCTTTCTTGCTATTGCATGCGGGAGTTTCCTCTGAGAAAAGATTTTTTAAAATTATCTTTTTCAGAAGAATCTACGTTGGCATAATTGTTGAAGTCATGCATTTAAAATATTTTAAAAATGGTTTTGAATATTCTACAAATAAGTTTTAGTTACCCAAGCAGCCATCTTTCCCATCGGAAATGTATCCTTTCTGACATACACATGTCGGAGCTCCATTGGACACTGAACATGTCTGGTGTTGACCGCACTTTGGTTTGGTTTGAATTGTCTTAAATCCTACACTGCCACCCTCCAATTTACACTCCTGTACGGTCGTGCAATCGGAGGAGGTATATGTTTCTCCCAACTGAAACCAAGTAGATGTAGTGTTAATCGCAGTACAATTTTCAGTAAATAAATAGAACTTCATACAGAAAAACAACGATGTGCGACTGAGAGTTGATTCTTGTTTAACCACACATACGATTCAGAAATAACAATAGTTATTTTTGAACAGGGTACCAGTTAAAACAGATTTAAATACATTCTTGAAAAGTTTTGAATTCAAAGTGGTTCCTTTTTACTGTGGTATCACTAATTTTCGTGGTTTTCAAGGTATGATGAGACCCAAGAATTTATATCCACTACGAAATGCATTTTTTTCACATATATTACTACTGAACAATCCGTCAACCACGAAATCAAAACCCCATGAACTAACATATTTTCCACCAACCACGAAAATTTGACACCTCAAAAATATGTGATTTTACAGTGAAATGAAGAATTCTTACAGGATAATATTTAGAATCTGCTCCTTTACACCCGCACTTTGATTTCTCCACACATTTGTTATCACTCAGGATGAAGCCTTCCTTACAGCGGCATCCTTCTGTAGGAGGCTGGTCGCAGTCCTTCTCAGAGTCTGGGTCTACACAGGAGGCCGGGCAGCCACTCATCTCAGAATCGTACACCATATTGTCACCACAGGGCAACGCTTAAAGAATAGAGACAACTGATATTCATCAAGGGAAGGAACGCTCTAAACATAAATATAGATTGTCTGTTTAATTATCATTTATGTATCCATTTTATACCTTATGTTTTCTTATGACAATTTTGATTTTAAAGTTGAATTGAAATTACATACGACAGAAATCACTAGATCTCCACTTAACAGAAATTCCCAGGCCAGCACAATATTCGGCGTAACCGTTCACGCTCTGACAGATCGTTCTCTCACGTCGGGAGGTTTCCGAGTAATATGTACAGAAATCAAACACGCAGTTCTCGAACATTTCTTTACTCGTCGTAGGACTCTCAGCTAAACAATCTCTGAATGGACTTTGGTCTTTCTTCTCTGGATTAAGAAAGCCACACACTTTGATATCCATGGCTTTCTTCCTAAGCTCTGGTGTGCATTTATTTGGAACTTCATGTGCCTTACAGCTGCAAAAAAATCCTTCAAATTTACCAACAGTAGCCCATAACATTAATAAGACTGTTTAAAACTTTTCCATGAAAATTTTAAAGCTTCTTTCACTTCAGATGAATATTTTATAGATAAGCATTTCTTTTTAATATTTTGGGGGATACCTCTGGTGAATTTGGTCAGTATCGTCCTTCACAGTGTAACTGTTTCCAATCTCGGTGAATTTGTTGCGGTCTCCGGACACATCTTTACCATATTTTGTCCGGAAATCATCTTTCTTTTCGTTACAGTCTCCGCAGAGTCCTATCATACGACGTCCGAGATCTTTTGGAACAGTGACGGTGACGGAGCTCCAGCCGTCCCACGTGACCACTGCGTCACCATCGTTAGTACTGGCGATAACTTTGACCTTGTTACCGCTCCTAAATATTCTAAACTCACCGCGACTTGTGTAAGGTAGGAATATTCTTAATCCATTTAGCTGAAGTAAAAAATTGAAATAATCTAACTTTCAAATTGAAGGAATAGTGGGGAAAATGTTAAATATTTGTTAGTGAGCAAAATACAACCGAATAATGTATATTCCCTCTAGAACATGAAAAGATCAAAGTTCTAATGGTATTCCTAAATAAATTGCTGACTCAAGAACAGAAATTGTAAGAACACACACTTTTCAACTTACATATACTTGGTGTTTTTTGTGCAGACGAATTGTGTTTTTCCCCAGTTTGACGTCTACCAGCCTCGTGTAGGACACAGAACGAGAACTCCCGCGGTGTTCATTCTTGACTTCCACGTTAAATTCGTTAGAGCGGCTGTTTTTGACTTTAGTTAGGGTGTACTTACAGATGCCCATGAAGTGGATCATTTGACCGTCGTATGTTTTATAGTGAGGATCTCCAGATGCTGAACACGTACAGGTTTCTAGAGTAATTAGTATTAAAATCGTAATCAACATGTGTACGATTACCAAATTTATTTTCATTTAATTACTGCAGTAAAAAAGGTTTTAAAAAGAATTACGGTAGCATCTTTTAACGCCGTCTCCCGTGTATCCCCTGTTACATCGGCATTCTCCATTGATACATCTGGCATTGGAGTGACATTTGCTGTGTCTTCCACAATTATTGCCTTTATAAAGAAAATGTAAGTTTGGGATTAGATGCATCATTGATATTTGGAGGTATAGGATAAAATTGGATGTCTTTCCTTTCCCCAATTATATCTCTAAAGCCATCTCGACAGGAACTTGAAGACGTGTCCTTTAATCGATAGAAAAAAACCTTATTTATTGCAAATTATTGATCTAACAATATTTATATTGTAATTTCAACATCTTATTGTTGTTCCATGACTTTGACCTTTGCCATTTGAGGTATGACTAATATGAGTATGGATTAATCATAGAAAACCTTTAAGATATCAATACGTTCTCAATCTTGCATTCCATCTACTTAAAGGTTTTACAGTTAGGACCCGAGCACGACTTCCAAGTCTAATTAATTAATCAGTGACATTGTCAACTCACATGTGATCTTGAATCAAGGTCGTTTAACATACTATGATCATCGGCAACAACCAAGCATAAATTGGTTGTGAGCAAGGGTTCCAATGTTATAACCCATAATAAGATGACACTATTTCAGGGCTAGTGACCTTGACAATGAATATATTACCTTGCATGAAATTATAACAATCGACTTCAAACAATTGTTAACATTTTTTTCTTGGAGAAAAGTCTTGCTTGTCGGTGAACAATTACGCCAACGATAGGTACATGTAACGCGCAGTGCTTTAAAAGACAATGTATGTAAAGATAATATTTTTTATTAACTCTAAGATGAAGATTGTCTGTGTTATTCCTGTTCCGTAATAGACTGAGTGTCAGTATTTTTTTTCCCAGTATATGTACATGTACTCTACTAACATGGGGGGTGTCTGGTGTCCTACACCTCGAAATTTTTTTACGTGAGTAGAAAATTTGACCTATTTTACCTCTTTTAACGTTTGTTTTGTAAATAGCGATCCTCCATCTTCCACCACATCCCTCCTTTTTGTTTCCACCACAGGGTACGTTACATTGCGAGTTGGCAAGTTTGTTCTTCCGGCGAAGGCAATTTCCACAAAAACAGTTCACCCCTCTCTTTAAAATTTTATGAATTAAAATAACTACCCTTAACTTTTGGAAACATTAATAAGTTACCGATCCTGGAGTTAAATGTATATTTGGGTCTAGTTATTTGTAAAATAAATAAACTTAAATTGGATTACCTAAAACCCTACCATATAATCATATTTGTGGGTCGATATTGTATTTAGCACTCTTCGTTGTCTTTGAATATGTACTTACTGTTTCAAATGAAGCATTAAAATAATTCTCTTTTTCCACAAAGACAATTACGTCTAATAATGATTTGTATGGAACGCCACAGCTGTCTTACGGGTACAAAATATGCACCATGGTGTCAGTTCGATATAACATTAAGTCTAACCTTTATATCATTGTGTCTACTTTATATAATATGTCGTCAAACCTTTATAACTTTAAGTGCACTTTATATAATATGTAGTCTATTCTTTATATCATTAAGTCTACTTTATATAATATGTAGTCCATTCTTTATATCATTAAGTCCACTTTATATAATATGTAGTCCATTCTTTATATCATTATGTCCACTTTATATGTTATGTAGGCTATTCTTTATACATATATCATTAAGTCCACTTTATATAATATGTCGTCTATTCTCTATATCATTAAGTCCACTTTATATAATATGTCGTCTATTCTCTATATCATTAAGTCCACTTTATATGTTATGTAGGCTATTCTATATATCATTAAGTCCACTTTATATGTTATGTAGGCTATTCTCTATATCATTAAGTCCACTTTATATAATATGTCGTCAAACCTTTATAACGTTAAGTCCACTTTATATAATATGTCGTCAAACCTTTATAACGTTAAGTCCACTTTATATAATATGTCGTCAAACCTTTATAACGTTAAGTCCACTTTATATAACATGTCGTCTATTCTCTATATCATTAAGTCCACTTTATATAACATGTCGTCTATTCTCTATATCATTAAGTCCACTTTATATGTTATGTAGGCTATTCTATATATCATTAAGTCCACTTTATATGTTATGTAGGCTATTCTCTATATCATTAAGTCCACTTTATATGTTATGTAGGCTATTCTAGATATCATTAAGTCCACTTTATATGTTATGTAGGCTATTCTCTATATCATTAAGTCCACTTTATATAATATGTCGTCAAACCTTTATAACGTTAAGTGCACTTTATATAATATGTAGTCTATTTATATCATTAAGTCTACTTTATATAATATGTTGTCTATTCTTAATATCATTAAGTCCACTTTCTATAAAATGTCTTCAAAACTTGATATCATTAAGTCCACTTATATAATATGTAGTCTTTTTATTATTTCATTAAGTCCACTTTATATGATATGAAGTCTATTCTTAATATCATAAAGTCTTTTTTATATATTATGTAGTCTATGACTAAATTCTTTATATCATTAAGTCCACTTATCTATCATGTAGTCTATTCTTTATATAATTAAGTCTTTTTTACATAATATGTAATTCACAAGGTTTATTACGATCACAAATCCATATACTACGAAGACAGATGCATACAGTCAAAAACTACCAGCCAGTATAAGAAAATTCATCAAAGGACTGAGAGTACCTAGGCGTAATAATGTATTAATACTAACATGTATTTTTGACAATTGATAATTAATGCTTAGACAATTAATTATGACTTAATTACTTGATTATACAAATACTCAAGGCAGGTAAGGTTGCACGTTTTCGGAAAATCATAAAAAAGAACTTTTACCAGCTTAGACTACTATAGGAAATCCAACTTTTTGAATGCCTAGTTTACTTCCGAGAGAATTCCTTTTTAGCTCTCTGACAGGTCGTAAGAATTATGACAGCTGACCTGTAATTTGTTTACTCTTAGTATTGAAACTGAAGGTAAGCTATTACTCAGCTTTCTTCTCATTGACTGGTTACTGGTAAAAACACGACTATTATATACGGCAGTATGAGATTGTAGTGGTACAATCAAGAATGGGTACATATTCAAGTACTCCTAGCCTTTAAAGATTTGCGTATTTAGCATGTGATATGCAGGAATCATCTGAACTGAACAGTCGCCCGTGTGGCGCAGTGGTTAGAGTCTCTGTTCTAAATTCGCGAAATAAGGAGTTGATGTTTATGTCGCTGGATCAAAACCCACTGAGGGACGTGGAGACAGGTCATTCAGATGAAACCGTTTGAGGTCCAGTGTTGCAGTAGGTGCTGGCACGATAAAGATCCTTCATTGTTCAATGGCCCTGAATGCCGAGCATAAGCCAAATTTGAAGCTCTCCATTGGCAAGTGGCGGTGTCTCCATATGTGTGAAAAATTCTTGAGAGGGACTCAAACAACATACACTTAATCAATCTGTACTAAATATTTATTGTTTAATGTTCATGATTTGGTCCACTGACCTGTGAAGACTGGACACACTTTACAGAGTAACGAGCATAGAAAAAGTCCACTTATTACTACTGTGACATAATGTAAATGCTTCCCAAAAGATAAGTAACACTTATTTCAGATAATAGGGGATAATTCATGTGCGTTTTAAAAACAGTAGGATGGAAAAAATGTTTTCGTTCTCAGTAGAATGGAACCGAAATTTATCCATTCAAAAATATATATCACCCATTCTCAATATAAGGGCACAAATGCCTCTCTGATTTTTTAAAAAATGAAGTTCAAGATAACAATTTTTCTATCAATTACCTTTGAAAGAAAGTATCTGAAGATTTTGTTTCCAGATTTTTTTCATCAAATTATAATACATGAAATAATGACAAGACGATAAAGTAGAGGGTAATTTTATTCAGAAATGTAGCTTGAAATGTACGTTACTCTTTCTTCAATGTCCAAAAAAAATATGTCAAAAAAAATGTAGTCATCAAAATCACAATTGGAATAACTCATCTTAACACCAGCACATCCTACCAACTCTGTCAGCAACATATTTTCTCGGCATACGAACGTGCGTTTGATTTTTCCTTTCAAAAAACAAAGGTTACTTTTTGATCCAGATGTGTAAAAACATTTTTTAAATATGTGCTTTAAATTCTTCTCTCTGTTTTGTTAAGAGCGATCAGTTTGGAATCTTGTCATTTTTAATAGATACTGGAACCTAACATGTACATGTAGTAAAATTCTATTTTGTAGTTACTGTCTTTTTTAACATATATCCATGCCGATTTAGAAAACTATGTAAATGTAACGTACATTTCAAGATATATTTCTGTTTAATAAAAAGCTTAAAATTCATCTAAAATTCATCTAAAAATTCATCGTTTTGTTTCAGTTTATTCCAAAAAAGATTCTCTATGTAATCACATTGTGTTATATGTCACAATCACCACTATAAAGACACGATTGCCTCAGAATATGAGTAGGTAACGTACATTTCAAGCTTGTAATAATATGTAAATTAGTAATAAGAAAATATTGAAAAAAAAGCAATTATTGACATAAAAATCATATCAATGAAGCGTTTTAAGGCAGTAATATAAGAAATCATAATGTAACAAACGAGGTTATTGTCATCAACTACATGAATGTCACGTCACTTCGGTAACGTCCCCTCCACCTCAGTTCATAACCATTCTTTTGTGCTGTTTCGCTGAAATTGACACCGGTCGTAGCCTAGTTACTTCTAACTGTGTGCAAGGTTACAGACAAAAAAATATAAGAGTCAGAGGTATTATGCTATGATCTAACAAATGTTCGTGTTTGGCCATTGAAACTTAACATAAATCTATTCCGAATATATCCATCGACAGTCTTGTTAACAATTTCATTTAGTATGTTGCAACATCGTTTTTCAAAACACAAACATACGTGCTTTTCAGCAGATCTGGAAAAATATAACCCAAAATGCAATGATTCAAACAAAACTGAGTATTCAGTATTTGAAATGTACGTGACCGTCTTGTGTTCTGGGTTTATTTGTTCTGTTTCTTTTTCTTTTCTTTTTTGTTTTGTTTTGTATTTTTTTTTACCAATTATAAGCCTATGCATACCTTGTTTTAAATTATCAACAACAATTCAATTAATATTGACGAAAAGTCGCACATGAAAAGTAAACAAACTGCAAAAAGGTTGCCAAAGATGAATTTAAGACACTTAGAAATAAATTTTCTAGCATGTGGTAACAGTTTAAAACATTTACGAGGATTGGGGTGCATTTAGATGTGGCCAGTTGTCAAATGGATTGTAACGATAATTTTGTTTTGTAAACGCAATTCATTGACTAAATTAAAAAAAATGTCAGTTAGAAATACATAAAATGTACGTTACCATACGTAACGTACATTTCAAATATAAAAATCAATTCTCTTCCACAAGCATACGTTAGACGCGCAATATATTGATACTATTTGAACCTGCATATCATAAGAAATGCATCATACAGGTTTCGTATTCAGAAATATATACCAGGTATCAAAATTATATTACATAATAATTGACCTTAATATATTTTTTTCCTCAGCAGAGACGTTTCTTTTCATTCATTTTGGGATTTAGCCGACCTCCAACCTTTGAAACTTTCCTTTGTGTACACATTCGAGTGTGTGAAAGTATTAGAATACATGAAAATTCGTGCGAGATTCACTTAATTCGAATTTCATGGTAACGTACATTTCAGTCACGTACATTTCAAATGATGACTTTTCATGTAAAAAATAATTTTTAATTGTGTTAAGCAAAACGTCTTTGCTAGTTTACAGGATACAAGGGGTTGCTTATTCAGAGTCGTTTCATATTTTCTACTTAATATGTATTCTTAATGGAAGAATATAGGTAACGTACATTTCTTTCTTATCTCTACGATTGAAAATGTCTTTCATTCCGTAAACATATTTATAAAAGTTGCTCAAGTTGTTCAATTTCATGTTACATTATCTAAGTAGGAGTAATTAATCCTTTGAAATTTCAAATTTAGCCCATCAATAAATAAAGGAGAACAAAACTATCAGGTGTATAATCTTTGTGTTTGCTTGTAATGTGGTTGAAATAGAATTAAGCGACAGGGACATTGCACAATAAAAATTATTTATTATCACAAAGAAAATGTATTTATTGTTATGAAAAGAAATATATATGATACAAGGTTTAACTTATCAGAAAATTTTTACTTGAGAATCAAAACTATATATTACACAGAGGGGATTCAGAATAATATTTGCATCGGCGACAGTAACGTACATTTCAAATAGGCTACTATATTTGAATTTGGAACTCCTTAAATACCCTTTCAGATCGATAATTATATGAATTCTTATTCATTGTTATATGACTATTTATAATGTTGATTTAAAAATTACATCAGTGGTATTTCTTTTAAATGAAAATGAGGCGACATCATTTGAGCCCTTATATTGAGAATGGGTGATATCAGTACATAAAAATAAACTTATTAAAAGAATGGAAGTACTTTTATTTTGAAAAATTTTAACGCTCCGTGCGAGGATCGAACCAAACAAATTTCTTTTCCATTGAACTGGTCGGGTGACGTATCATTCATTTTTCATTTTGTAGTCCCCGTGTCTTTCCTCCATATTTTAAACAATCTTTTGTTTCTTTTGATTTAAATACACACGTATAACGATTCAAATTCATGAGGAGATGACCCACAGATAGCAAATGTTTAGAAAGACGTGTGTTAAGACTGTAACATTTGGTAGCAAATTTCTCATCTAACCACTTTTCAAGTTATCTTTTAACAAAACAAAGCATCGAGAAAATACTCCTCTTTCCTATTTCACAGAAACCCGATTCATCAAAAGAATGATAATTTTTCATGTGACAGATCAATGAAATTTTCACTTTTCAAGTGCGCCCGGATTAGTCGCCCGAGTTGCACAGTGGTTACAGCGTCTGCTATGGAATCGCGAAGGATTCAATCCTATCGTCGCGGGTTCGAATCTCACTGTGGGACGTGGAGACCGGTCCTTCGGATGAGACCGTATAAACCGAGGTCCCGTGTTGCAATAGGTTCTTGCACGAAAAAGATCACTCACTGCTCAATGGCCCTGAGTGCCGAGTATAAGACAAAATTTGTAGCTCTCCACCGGCAAGTGGTGGCGTCTCCATATGAGTGAAGAGTTCTCGAGAGTGACGTTAAATATACAATCAATCAGATTTCTGTCGAATACCAATAAAAAGCGCCCTTGTCCTTTCTGGAAAAATGGACATGAAAAAGAACAGAGTTTATATCAGTATATTTCCCCTTCAAGTATTTGTTTTATTATGTAATCAACTGTTGTATTGATTCTTTAAGAATTGATTAATAATTGTCAAAAATTATTTTGCCTGAGTACTCTCAGTCCTTTGATGATTTTCTACCTTCATTCTTGTATTTTGACTGGATGCTAAAATTATGCATCCAACTTCATAGTACATTGCTTTGTCAGCGTGGTATAGCTTCTGCAGTACTACAGTACATATTACATAAAGTGGGTTCATGATATAATGGATAGACAACATAATATATAAAGTGGACTTAATGATATAAAGAATAGCCTACATAATATATATTAATATATATAGATATATAAAGTGGACTTAATGGTATGAAGAATAGTCTGCATAGTGTATTAAGTGGCCTTAATGATATATAAAATCGACAACATAACATATAAAGTGGACTTAATGATATGAAGAATTGACGACATGTTATATAAAGTGGACTTAATGATATGAAAATTTGACAACATGTTATATAAAGTGGACTTAATGATATAAAGATTTGACAACATGTTATATAAAGTGGACTTAATGATATAAAGATTTGACAACATAACATATAAAGTGGGCTTAATGATATGAAGAATTGGAGACATAATATATATAGTGCACTTAATGATATAAAGGTTAGACTTAATGTTATATCGAACTGACACCATGATGCATATTTTGTAACCTTAAGACAGCTGTGGCGTTCCATAGATTTGCGTATTTTCATGAGTATTGCAATTCAGGATTATGGCAATCAATCAAAGTGAAAAATTTAAAGTCTAGCTGTATGTCTGTCCGTCTGTCTGTAAACATTTTTTGTGAGCCTGTGGAGCATAGCAGCTCTTGAGGTAGGATTCTTCTCTGGTTTCTGACTAGATGAAGTACTCCAGTGTTCAATGTATATTTACTTATATTTCTTATATATTTATGTGTAATAAATTTAAAAGACTATATCTTTCTTTCCTCATCATAATTGTACAACTTTTAAATAGAAATGGTAGACTGCATTTGAAAACCAGCTGGAACTATATTTTTGGCGGAATTGTGGCGTATGAAAATATCTTCATTTCTGCCTCTCTGAATTATTACAGAACGATGAAGTTAGTTATAATTTTTACGCAATCAAAGACTCGAAGAAATTCTCAAATGTAAGTTAAATTAAATTAATAAAAAGAGACAAAAGTTTCAAGATATATCAAATAGATGTGATTTTCAAACAAAGTAGAACTATGTGAGCTTTTAAAAGCTTGCAATCTAAGTCAGATTTGAGCCCAAAATCCCAGCGTTAAGTGGTTTTCCCTCTTAGTAAACGATCAAAACTATTTGTTTTTATATCAGTATGTATCTCTTTGTGACAGCTTTACCATATGTGAAAATAAGAAAAATCTATCAAATAATAAAAATTAAATAAATATCAAGAAATATGAGAAGAATCCTACCTAAAAAGTGAGATTCCGTGTCAAAGTAGGATTTGGCACAATAAAGAACACTCACTGCTGAATGGCCCTCGAGTGCCGAGTATGGGTTTAAATTTTAAGTCCTTTACCATGTTTACCACAATGTATATATTATATATCTCTTTATTATTGAAAAATTGTTGAAAGGGACGTAAATCAACAATCAATCCTTAAGATTTAATCCGCTTAATCCATCGTAATTATTTTTACAATAAAAATACAAATGTAGGATCTTCCGTTTTGTAGTTTGATATGAACGTACCTCAACACCGGCGTAGCGATTCCTCCTGCGTTTACAAATATTTCTACATCTGTTGATTGTCATATATCTACTGTACCTATACGCGCCACCTAGAGTTCTATACCAGCCGTCCTTATAACAACCCACGAATCCTGAAAAAAAAAATATAGTGATAGGTACGTGAACGTTTGAGGTTATTGTTATATATAAGTATGTTACATAATGGCTATGTCATTTTTTCAATTCATTAAAATTAGACATATAAACTTTAGACTTGACATTGTATAAAAATAAATCTAAGTGGAAATTAATTTGATAATGCAGGACTTTATGGCTATTTGTGAGATCAATTTTCACAGTAAGTTATTCAAATGAATGAAATAATAATGGTTTTTTAACAACGTCATTTTCAATATGAATATAATTAGGGCTGGGACGATATATCGAGATATCGATATATCGTGATACATGTGAGGACGATACGCATATCGATACAAATGAAGAAATATCGAAATATCGCCCATGAAAATCTGACTTCTATTTTTCATTGTTTTATATTTAACTTTTGGGGTTTAACATATAAAATAAATTAGCTAACAATAATAAAGTTATGAAATAAATAATAATTAACACCTTTTGAGTAAAATATTTTTGTTTTACAACATATAAACAACTATTTTGAATTAATTATTTTTATTTGCAAAGAAATAATTTGTTTATTTCAATGCAAAAAAAGATTTTATAAGCAATTAAACATATCGTGATACATATCGTATCGTGGCTCAAATATCGTGATACGTATCGATATAGAAAAAGTTGTATCGTCCCAGCCCTAAATATAATATGGATAAAGTAATTTTTTGATATGATCGTTTACAGATAAAACACCTTATTCTAATACCAGGGGTATATATCTCTCAGATTTCTTCCAAACCAGGAGGGGGAGGGGAACCACCCTTTATTTTCCAATATAGTTTATACATGTACGTTGTATACAGTTGATCCCCTCAATTATCAAGCCATTATACTACACGGTAAAAATAACGCTATTAATAGTTTTTGGATGAGGCACTTCGAAACTCGTTTTGGTTGTCAAAAATTTTTGTAGACTGTCAACCCTCTCCCAAAAATGAAATTGATTCCTACGGACCTTTTCAGATGCGTAATTTTATATTCCTTTGAACTGATAATATGATAACATCGTCGAGAACACTGATTTTTACATTCTTTTTTTCATTTTTTTTTAGCTGTGTTGCAAGCATGAACATGTATAAAGATATCATTCGACACCACACACATATTATCATTAACATTTGATTAAAGTACTTGTTTTACCTGTCGTTGGAACAAAGCCTACAAAGAAAAAAATAATTAATATATTACTACATGTTCTTTCAGTAATGTGTGTTTAAGAGAGATATCATAAACTACAAAATTGTAGTTTTGAAAAATAAATGATAATACTTGATTTATTTCAGTTTTTCCTCCCATTTATTCTCTGGTTGTGGATTTTTTATAAAAAGACTTACAAATGTATACTGGTTGCAGAGTTGCATAGCCACCCCACCTTGGAATCTATACTCTAGAGTATATGATTTCCTTCCGAGGAGAAATCGCTCACTAGAGCCAATTTCCCCTCTTTTTTTCTCAGAGTAGGATTTCCCCCTGTTTGTAAAACTTAAGTTTACATAAAAGTCAACTGATCTTTTAATGATAGTTTTTTTCCGACCCAAGAATTGTGGAATTTAGTATGAAATTAAAATGCATAGTTCAAGGCAATACGTCTCAACAAAATGTTTTAACTCTTGGGAAATTGTAAAAATAGTTAAAAGAAACTGGATGTCTCAAGTTCTCAACACCCTCTCTCAGCGCAAATGTACGTGTTTATCAAGAATTTAAAAACTAGTGCTAATTGTAACGGGGACCGTTACAGATGTTCCCCAAACGCACCCCAACTCCCTTTTGGTGCCATATTCCCTGTAAGCTTCATTAAATAAGACAAACTCGATGCATTTAAGACTTTAATAACGTTTACACAGAAGTGTACAAAGTTCATTCAAATTTTGCGTGCGCATGTGAATGCATGTGCGTAATGACCATATCATCTTGTCTACACAATCTATATATTTTTAAATACTAAATATTAAAGCATTTAATCCAAAAGTATTAAAAAGATACGCTCGTTCAAGTGTTTTTTGATTTTGCTCATTTCACGTGCACGCACGTGCATACATGAGCATGGTGACCATATCTTCTTGCAGATGTCCGTTACATCTATCTATGTTCTAAATCCCACCCCGTTTGGTTGAAAACCAAGGGAGTTATAGCTGTTTAAAGTTTCAGCCAATCAGATTGCAGCGCACGTACATGCACGTGTATGCATGTGCATGGTGACCTTATTTTCTTGTAGTAGTCCAGTATATCTATCTATGTTCCAAATTCCATCCTGTTTGGTTGAAAATCAAGGGAGTTATAGCTATTTAAAGTTTAAGCCAATCAGATTGCAGCGCACGTGCATGCACGTGTTTCATGATAATTGTTATATATCTTGTTGTAGGATATCCTTATGCATGGCTATTTTCAAAATTTCAAAGGATTTCGTCAAAAAATAAGAAAGATATTGAGACTTTAGTTTCAGCCAATCAGAGCAAAGCGCACGTGCATGCGCGTGAGATATTGCTATTTTGACCATGTCATATTGTCTATGCTTCTAATATATCCTTATATTATAAGTTTCAAAGCATTTCATCAAAAATTTAAAAAGTTACGCCTATATCAATTAAATCGGTCATTTCACATGTTGCACGTGCACGCTCTTGCAAGCACGTGTGCGCAAAATGACCTTCGTTCCGCAAATCTACATTACATGTCTACTGACCCTAAAAACATTTCACCTTAGTCGGATGTATAGTTTACGAGATTATTCCCGGACAAAAAAGTACCCAGGAAGAAGAAGAAGAAGAAAAATAATAATAACTAGTGCTAATTGTAACGGGAACCGTTACAGATGTTCCCCAAACGCTCCCCAACTTCATTTTGGTGCCTCATTCCCCCTAAGCTTCATCAAATAAACTAAACTCTATGCATCTTAAACTTAAACAACGTTTTTCCTAAAGTATACCAAATATATAGCAAATGTTTGCATTGCACATGCGCACACTTGCATGCATATATATGGAATGACCATATCATTGTATCTACACTATTAATTTATTTTATAATATTTACATTTGCAAATGTTTTCCTTTATATAACACTACTGAAAGCAATGTGTATCTATATCTGTATAAATACAGGTACGGGGTCAAGAGGTCAAAGATGTGCGTATGGATAATCGTTTGACGTAATTTCTCAGTGACGTCATAAAGGGTCGACGCGCGTTCAGAGGATTACATACATGCTGTTGGGTTTGAAAAATAACGCATTTCACACGTTAAAAGTCACAATCAGGCAAATATAAAGTATGAATAAGTCACAAATGTAAATATAAGTAATAAGGTATCATTTTAAAACATCTATCGGGCTATAAATACGGGTTAGTACGAGATTAAATTCATCATAAAGCCCTTCGGGCTTTATGGAATTTAATCTCGTGACCAACCCGTATTTATATCCTGATAGATGTTTAAAAATGATACCTTATTTCTTAAATGTACTTAATATCAAGTCATTTAATCAAAAATATTCGAAAATCCGCTAAATCAAGTGCATTTGTAATTATACGCATTGCACGTGCACGCATGTGCATGATGACCACACCTTCTTGTAGGGGTTCATTAAGACTATCTATGTTCTAAATCCCATCCTGTTTGGCTGAAAAGTAAGGGAGTTATAGCCATTTAAAGTTTTAGCCAATCAGATTGCAGCGCACGTACATGCGCGTGATTTCATGAAAATTATTTTAAATCATATCATAGGATATCTTAATGCATGACTATGTTTTAAATTTCAAAGTATTTCTTCAAAAAACGAATAAGACATTGAGGTTTTTGTTTTAGCCAATCAGAGCGAAGCGCACGATCATGCGCGTGAGTTCATGATAATTTGACCATGTCCTCTTGTCTACAATACTAATATATTCTTATATTCTGAGTTTCAACACATCTCATCAAAAAATAGAAAAGTTACGGCTATATCAATTATATTGGTCATTTTACATGTTGCACGTGCGCGCTCTTGCAAGCACGTGCGCGCAAAATGACCTTGATTCCACAAATCTACATAACATGTCTACTTACCCTAAAAAGGTTTTACATACATCAGATGAACAGTTTACAAGATCATTTGCGGACAAATAAGTACCCAGGAAGAAGAAAAATAATAATAAGAAACAGAGTAAAAACAATATGTTCCCCAACTTCGTTTGGGGAACATAATAAGAAACAGAGTAAAAACAATATGTTCCCCAACTTCGTTTGGGGAACATAATTATGTCAGGGCACTTTTAGTGATATTTTTATTTCTTTTCCCTCCAAATGCTTAATTCCAGTATTTCATCTATGAATCCATCCTTTATACAAAGAGTGTGTTAGAAAATTCTTAAAATTGTGTTATAGATGTGTTCCACATGCCATTTTGTGAGTATTTAAATGCAGTAGTTCTTCAAAGGGGAAAAACCCAAACCATTTACACAAGAATACAATTACACTGATTTTTCAAGCCGAAGCATATTAAGTATGTTCTGTCGACCTCAGAGATGTAATATTGGATTTGAAAGGAGAGAAAATACTCTCTAAAACTTTTGCAGAATTCCAGATTTTAGAAATAAATTACCAATTTTCAGTTTCATGGCCAGGGAGAACAAATTGATCCTGGGGAGCAAATTAATAATACTTAGGTACATGTAGCTTATTGTTTCCCATGCCAGTCCTTTCAGAATCAATTGGTCATCCACTTTTACACCAGAATTTTGGAGATTTTGAATAGATTTTGAGGAATTTGAAAACGTAGTTTAAACTACAACAACTGATGAAATCTATGGATACACTTAAAATTTGTCCAACACCTTACATTTTATCTTCAGAGACCAGTTTGACCAGATGAAAAGAATGTTAAGATTTTTTTAAATGCTTAAAGGGTACATAACACAAACAAAAATTTAATGTATGGATTGATAAAAATTTATGACTGATTTTGAAGAGAAATGACATTAATAATAAAGTCTTTAACTATAATGAAATCGTAAGTTTTCTTGGGTTCTTAGATATGCTGTTTTGTGTCGTATTCTATGTAAACTCTATACAAAGTTTTGAACACGTTTCAAGCATTTAAATCTTAACAAATTTTCCAACCCTACTTAACAAACATCATTTAGCCTACTTATTTAAATATAAATCTATGAGAAATATTTCTGATTTTTGAAAAAAAAAAAGTTGTGTTTATCCTTAAAAAAATTGGTTGGACGGTAGTTTATTGTTTCCAACGCCAGTCCTTTCAGAACCAAATGGTCATCATCCACTTTTAAACACCAGAATTTTGGAAAGAGGAATTTGACGATGTAGTTTAAAATACAACTGAAGAAATTTATGGATACACCAATAAGATTTAATGCTTTAAGGGTACATAATGCACACAAAAAAATTAATGTATGGATTGATAAAAATTTTATGACTGATTTTTAATAGAAATGACATAAATAATAAATCCTTCAACTAAAAAGAAATGGAAAGTCTTCTTGCTGCTTAGATATGCGATTTTGTGTCATTTTCTATGTAACTCTACACAAAATTTTGAAAAAGTTTGTGATTGAATTTTGCCAAATTTTCCAACTTAACAAACTTTTTTGAATATAAATTAATTAAGAAATAAGGTATCATTTTTTGAGTTTTATTGGGATGTAAAACGGGTTGGTCACGTGATCAAATCCCATAAAGCTTCGGGCTTTATGGGATTTGATTACGTGACCAACCCGTTTTACATCCCAATAAAAATCAAAAAATGATACCTTATTACTTATATTTACATTTGTGACTTATTCATACTTTAAATTTGCCTGATTGTGACTTTTAACGTGTGAAAATGCATTATTTTTTAAACCCAACGGCATGTATGTAATCCACTGAACGCGCGTCGACCCTTTATGACGTCACTGAGAAATTACGTCGAACCTTTATCCATACGCACATCTATGACCTCTTGACCCCGTACCTGTATTTATACGAAGTATGAAAAATGAATTTTAAATCTCATATTTTTCTCAGTAACCTTCCATCCAACTTTTTAACATTAAAATCTTATTCTTTTCTTTTGGTCAAATTTTGTTTCCTTAAAAAAAATGGTACATTGTAATTGATTTGACAAATTTTAACTGTATTGATAGAAACTAAAAGGCATATTAAATCAAATGAATTTTCTTTTCTTCCATTGTATTTCAAACAACAGGTTCATAATATTGATGTGATAGTGTCTCCTCAAAATTCTGGTGTTTAATTACCAGGTTAACGCTGATCCTGATAAATTGACCGTGGTATTGGACCCCTAAACTAATCATTAATATTGATATTTCAAAATATTTTTCATCACATTTTTTTTTAGATAAGATAATTAGATGTCACTGAAGCCCTTATGTTTTTAATTGTTTGTGTTCTTCCTGTGTCTGAAGTTCTTGATATTTATCTGTTAATACAATATGAATGTATGATTCATATACAAAATTCTACTTTGTAAATGAGCCCGGCTCTCTGTACTGAGTGTACTCCTAAGTACTTTGATTCATACTTTGTATGTATCAATGGACATTTTGAGGAAGAAACACTTGTTCACTATACCCCCCCCCCAATACACAAGTACAGCCATGGTATTTGATGGGGGGGGGGGGTTGGCTCTGGGGGAAATTGCACTCTATAACAATTGATTAGAGTAGGATTTCTCCCCCAGAAAATTGAATCTGGTGTGGGATTTTCGTCGGGGCAATCCTTCTCTAGATACCTTTTCCGGGGTTGGGGAGATTTTAGAAGGGAAAGCGTACTCCACAAAACCGGTACTTGACAGCTAATTTTAAATATCTTGACACACCAACCCCTTCCATTTTTTAAACTCATTCTATGCGTCCCGATTTCTCAAAATTTTGCAAAAATCATATACTGACACTTAGATGTCTTAAAGAAGTAACATTATATCTGGATTACAGTGTAAAAAGAAAGATGTAAATGTAATAAGGCTATCGTATAACAAAGCAGTAAATATCGTTTGAAAAAGCAATTTCTATAATAAATAAAGCTGCAGATCTAGATAAAAATTACCAAATGATCAATACAGGTTAATACCGGTATATCGAATGTGCGTTTTTAAGGATGTTTTAACAAAAAAGTACATTGTTTGTGCCACTGTATATATTTTTTTCCTCTTTTTTTTCCTTTGTTAGATTGATGTAGAAAACCAAACAAGCAAAAACGAAATAAATAAAACAAAAACTAAACCGTATAATCAGTAAATAGGTACATGTTACTGTACATATATACAGTGTAATATAACAAAATATATGAATATTATGAATTTCAAATAATTGATCAGTATTAACTTAATAGTACTCACCTGAGCTTTGGTAATTAGGATTTCTGTAAATCAGAATCCTCCAAGCGCCCCCACAAGCCGCTCGACTTCCCTTACATTTCATCCGGCAGTCACTCAGTGGTTTTCTGTTTTTGTATCTCATTGAATTCCCACAGAAACATTCCTTACCAACCTGTTTTATTTAATGTAAATTAATGGGTTGTAGAAGAAATTCTATTTGAATAGGTTTCCGAGAATGACACCTCAAATAGTATTCATTTGATATTGATTTCTAAAAAAAATTTCAAACCTATTCCTGCTTTCAAAAAATAATTCCGACTCCTTTTTTTTAAAGAAATCCAATTTCTTTAGAATAATTTTGTTGCTGTTTATATTTATGAATAATTTTTATACATGGGGATTAATGTACAATTTTTGTGTCACCTGCAGAGCAGAGCGACACTAAGGGATTACTTTACGCGGCGTCTGTCTGTCTTTCCGTCCGTCTGTCACACCCTATATCTCGAGAACTGTAAGAGTTATGGATTTGATATTTTGCAAATATATAGCTTAGCAATGTGGCTTTTGTATTTCACCATGGTTTCCGATCTAGCTGTCCTTAAAGACCTTTAACCTACTTTTTGAAAAAGTTACCAATGCCGATATACAATTTCTTTTTGACATTTTAGAGGTAAGTCTGTGCTATTTAGAATGTACAGTTTTTGTCATAGAATATTTTGAAAAATAAAAGCGTTTACTGTCCATCTGACCTTGACCTACTTTGCAAAGTATACTAAAGAGGGTTATATTTAATTAACGTCTTTTGAATAAAGAAAGGCATGGGATTGATAATTTGCATTTATACATATCTATAAGCTCATGACAATGTACTTTGATACTGTATTAAATACAGTAACCCTCCAAAAAATAAAATTTTAAAAGTACTATGAAAATACATAGGGTCGGTTTTTCCAAAATGAGTAATTGCCGTAAAGACTGGGGTTTCTTTTGAGAAGGATTGAAATCACGTAATAATTAAATTCATTAATACATAATAATTTAAATTTCATTAATATCTATTTTAGGTTTGAGGAGTTAGGGATTCGTTTTTCTATTTTTTGGTCAGATTTTATCCCCGTCTTACTATCCGCGCATGTGGTTTTTTTATTTTATTTTATTTTTTTACAATTTTTTTTGTTTTGTTTTATTATTTTTTTTTTAGCATGAACTATATGCTTTTAGCAGATAAATAGCTGACCATTTTTAGATTTAGTACAGTTTATTGAAGCAAAGAAGGAGGCGACACATGCGTTCCTGGGAACGCTTTAGTGCTAACCTTTGAATCAGCAGGGGCAACAAACAAAAAAAAATACCTCAAGCCCGTAAAATTGAGTTTTTTCTTTCACACATCTGTTTCTACAGTGGTTAACTGTCATATGATTGCCCCATGTCCGCCCACCACTAAGGACTCTATTCCTCGAGTCTTCGAAGCAGCCAAGCAAACCTAAAGCAAATATATATATGCCTTCATCCTATGCTAATTGTTAATTTATTTAGCTGATCTCATTTCAACCCTTTTCTATTTTTTTAAACACAGTGTCTTCTTTTTTGTGAACACAAATGCACATGGGCGTGGCTAAGTTATACGGTTTACAAATAGTTTGATGTCGAAAAAATTTAAAATTTTTACCATGATCTTTATTTTGTATTTACCTTAACTCAGTAAAAAATTAAGAATTTACTCCATAATACATGTCTATATCTCGAAATTTTGATACTGTTACATTGCATTTAAATTAACGCGATTTCCTTTTTTCGTGAGATTTGAGGTTTTTAATTTTATATTGAACAAAATATCCTTATCTTTGACTAAGAGGAAGGAAAAAACAAGTTACGAGTGCATTCTTCCCTGAATCGTACAGAATACTACTATATCATGATAAATATTATAAATATATATATATATATATTTTGACAATTTGAATAATACGGTACCTTGCTTCCTGATGCTTCCTTTCTTATTATGCGGCCTTCTTCCCCAAAGAAGATGTAAGAAACCATCTGTGCCTTTGCATAAAAAAGCGATATTATATTTTTTTTCTCACTTTAAAATGTCAAATTTGCAGTACAAGTTAAAATTCTGAATAAAACAATAATAGAATTATTTGGTCTTGAAAAAAAAACAAAAAAAAAAAAACAACGCTCTTAATGCTAAAACTATGCAACATGTACCTTCCAAATGAACAGCAAACACGATCACCAACAGTACCCGCCACATCTTGACTAATACGAAATGATGGGTCATTTTTCAGTATATTTATACAAGTTTATCATATTGATCTCTCCGAAGAGAAGGTGGGGTGTAACGATTCAAAGAAAATTGCATACATGACATATGTAGCTTATAACATGGAATTTTTGTGTTGTCATGTAAATGGTGAGGTGATATATAATCAATACAAAATAGTGTCCACCCGTCTGTGTTAAAAAATAACAACGACACGTGTCTTATACATTTGCTCTATTATTTCTTATTTCAGAGAGAGAGAAGAAGTTTAACTTGAAGTATGCAGAAAGTTATATAATGTATGTATTTAGCACGTATTCTATATCAAACTATAATATATTTATAATATACGGTTAGCATACTAGTATACCTTGAAGATGAAGCAAATAAAACGTAAGAATTTTTATGTATACAAAACTCTTCCAACGATATGATAATTATTTTTAAATATTTTAATTACATTATCAACTCCAAGTAAACCAACCAAGCTACCAATTTAATCAAGGAAAAATGAAATATCATGCTTTTGAGATATGATGCAATGCACATTATGATAATCATCATAATGAAAATATCAAAAGAGTGAAACTGAAATAAAATTGAATTAAACATTTTGATAAAAAACACATCCAAATTCAACGTTATCGAAACAATAATTTTTATTTTTGCTCCCCGCTGAAAGTTGGGGATATTTTCGGTCTGTCAGTTATTAGTAGTTTGCCTTTTTCGTTTATAGTTAGTACATTATCCTAATATCTAACAGACGTGGAAAACTCTGTGGTGTCTTTTATTTAAAGTTGACTGAGATATATAACCTTTTATTTAGTCGACATTTAAATGGAATAAAATATATGGAGATAACGAACAGTATTCAAGCTCAAAGTCGCAAGTAAGGAGTCGATCCTTACGGGGCGGGTTCGATTCCACTGTGTGATGTGATGTGGAGACCGGTCCTTCGGATGAGACCGTATAAATCGAGGTCTCGTGTCGCAGTAGGTACTGGCACGAAAAAGCAGCTCTCAGCTCAATTGGTCTTAGTCGCACTGCATAAATGTTGTCCATTGGGAACTCCAGCATTCTTTTAATATCAACTTCAGAGTACCTCCGTGTAAAATCGGATTGATTTTTAACAAAGTAATTTCGTAGATGAAGATAACACAATTTTCGACTTCTATTTTACTAGTAATTAAAAAAGCAGTTGTCTGTGATATCAAGAAGTATAGTTGTATTATGTTGTGAGGATTGGTTTTATAAAATGTTGAGATTCATATGTATTGATCATCCTAACTTCTAAATTATTTGGCGATTTTTAAATATTCTGAAATATCTTTGGATTTTTTGAGAATTGACACCTGATTAACACCAATTCTAGAATATGTTCGAGGGTTGATCCAAAAGTTCGTGGAATTTCTTTGTAAAATTTTATCGTGATTTGATGAAATCAATCAACAGGCATATTCATAATATAGAGTCATAATGCAACAATATTGGAAAATTTCACCACTTTCCAATTACCAATAAGGTCACACGAGCTTTCTGAAAATGGATAGTTGGGAAACCCAGGAGACTTCGACGTAACGTCAAGTTAGATATGTCACGTCACGTTATAGAAGCATCTCGCCCAAATGTCCAATTATAATACGTAATTCTGCAAAATGCTGTCTTTTTCTCCATTTTTTTTTTCAAGAAAAGCCTGGGTATCCTCTCGCACCAACTTATTTTCATTTTTACTCATATTTCAAAATACTACCGATCTTTCCATATGATGTTCCAATTTCAATAGCAATGTCAAGTTTAGAACCGCAGCCGACAACGTCCATTAACGCTTTTAATTTGTCTAGGGGGATACGTACTTAAACAGAGCCTCTAAAAAGCGACAACACTTTTAATCAACGTCCATGAAAGTTCTATTTTTCTTAAATCTCTTATGCCACTGGGAAACCAGTAACTAAATGCATTTTTCCCAAGCCTTTGTCAATAATATACGCGTTTAAGATCGAGTGATCCCGGGATTTTCACAAAACGTGTGACTGGACCAAAATTTGACGTTAACTAACAACTTAAAGATGAGCAATAAATCATCAACTTATCAACTGAATATCCATTAAAATCAGTAAAACTCTCACACAAAGGTTTATAAAAGATCAAGCAATCGTAATAATGACATAATTTTCCTTTTATACCCCACCTAGGGCGGTTTAATTCTTATTCCACGAATTAAGAATTTAAATTATAATAAACGCGTTAATGTCTCCCCCGCATTTCCAAACAACTGTTTCTATGGCAACTGCCATAAAGTTACTATCAAAGATATTTAAAATAGTTTTTAATTTAAAATATTCATGAAGTTTCTATATTTTCATTTGTAATTTTCAACCAATTCCACTGAAAAATAAATAAAATATGAAGAAATTCCACGAACTTTTGGATCAACCCTCATACGTCTTCTTAACAGCAGTTAATATTTTTGGAAGTAAAGATAAGGTGTCTGTAGAGCGTGTGCTGGACTGTTTGTAAGGATTTACTGAAGGAATTCAGTATATAGGATGGGTAGATCGAATTCAACTTGGTTAAATGTACATGTATCAAACACTTAAATTTCATTTTGAAGAAATTCATATATGAAAGTAAACTGAACAGACTGTAAGTTGGATTTCCAGATGTGGAATTAATAGTTACCAAGTTCTTCTGTAATACAATAAAATAATGAGCATTACAAACAAAGGCGATATTGTCACAAGCCTTGTCGGCTGAAATCAAAGCATGTTGTTTGTGTACGTAGTTTGAAAATTTCCTTGTAAATTTCATAAACAATTTTTGACAATATTTCTAAAACACGTAATCCACACTGACAAATTGTATAGATCTTGCTTTCATATTTAGCCCACCGTCTGGAATAATCCTCGACAGAAGTCATAAAAAAATGAAGTGCTGTCGCCAATTGTAATTTCAAAGCTTCCTGTATTTAAGACCTGTTAAGATAACTGCTTTCAGGTCTTCATTTTCAACTATATTAACATCCTAGTAATGACCTGTCAAGCTGGACTGTGGGTGAAAGAAAAAGAAGAGCAAGAACACTGAAGAGGGTTTTTTGTTGTTGTTTTTTTTTGTTCAGTATCTAGACACTGCAAGGTTTGTTTATAATTAAAACTTTGGGGAAACAGATAATTAGGGAATTTCAGCTGTATATAGAAATTTACAGTATCTACTGTGGAATGGGGTACAAAATGTACTGTGAAATCACTAATCTTCCTGAGGTCAAATTTTCGTTGCTTTCTAGGCATGGAGAAACCCATGAATTTTTGACCACCGTGAAATTAATTAATTTTTTTTACTACTTAACCTTTTCCAACCACGAATTCAAGTCCCCTCATATCTTTACAATTTGACCTCACAATTTTTTTTTTTACAGTATGATGAAATGATAAAAGATTGTTCTTTAGTTTTTACGTCAATAATAGTTCTTGTCAGTTTTACCATGTGAATATTTATGATACTGTACACTATTAGGTGCATTGTATCTAAACTTGCCAAGAATTCTTTTTTTGAAAATTTGAATGTATACTGTATAACCTATACATGTAACGTATAAAGTGCAAATATAAAGACAGAATATTGCTATTATTGACACAACACTTTATTACACTAAAGGTGTCAATATCTCGAGAAACACGTTTTAATTTAAATAAATTAATAACAATAAAATAGACAATTCCGATCAATAACAATACAATGTAAGCTCTTTCAAGAGCACCGACAACAAGTGTTCTGTAACAAAGTACTATAGGTAATCTTTTAACCAAATATTGCATTTTGAGCATCTGGTGTAAAGTTATGAATAGTATGTAATGCCATCTTTAATCATTAAGGAGGGTTTGACAAAAACAATCCCATAACGACGAAGAAACAGCTTTTACAGTTGATGTAACCTACGGTAAAGTGACAACAAATTTTAAGTCCATTACTCTTTATTTTTGAATGCAACTAATCTCTGATATACATATGTATCCTACTGGAATACTACTTTTCATAAAAAGTAGAAACGTAATTGGAAAGATATAGATCTTTTATTTGAGTAGGGGTACCATGTTTACATCTAATTTTTATTGAATTTTTGCCCCACCCCACTCTTTGATGCCCTTGAAATATGTGAGCGCAAGGAGGTACATTTTTCTCCTTTGGCTGGTCACTGTATTTCATCGAAATCTACCTGTATGTCAAATGAGAAAATTGAACTTATTGCGCCCATATGTTATGTTTAAAACATTGTAAAATTAAGCTGACCTTTCCTATTATGGCAACAAGGAAAGTATTTTTTCTGACGTAAGCATATATGCTAACTGAAGCACCGGCGTGAAATTTTTAAGTGCCGGGGTACACACGGCAAGGCTAGCCATATGAGTTAAAATCTTACGTTTTCCAGGCCGAACGGCTCTCATGTCAACATGGTAAGGCAAGACTAACAAAATTATAAACAATATTTACATAAACCTAAGTGTTTCAGCCATTAACAGTGCATTTAGTCATTGATTTATTTCCTTGGTTTTATAAAAATTTACTGAGTGATGAATTTACACTTCTTAAACAGAGGAGGATGTGATCAGAAGCATTCGTGGGCACATTGTGTTATCTTCAATCTACCTACGTGTATGGTTTGTCAGAAATAGATTGACATTGGGCAAATATATTGGTTGAGAAGAAAATGTCAGCTAAGTCTTTTATTAAGAAATAAATCAGTCCTCGTTTCATAAGTCAGAACCACTATGCCAGAAAAGCAGAAACTAATGTGGAAGCATCCTGGGGTACATCGTCTCAAGCCACGGTCCAGAGTCCGCATTTATAGCTCTCTCCAGAAAGGGAGAGGATCGTACATTTTGGCCGTGGTTTGCGACGATGCCTGGGGTAGTGCAGATTTTACTTTCTCCAGATTATGACCTATAGGGGTAGAGTATATTACAATTGGTATCACAAAAAGGTTGAGGGCAAAGGTGATCAATCAAATGGACCTTTTTGTATGCCTTGTGACTTGT